GTAGGACAGACGTTTTTATTATCCAGTACGCTGTGTTAACTCACACTACATATTGTAGTTGGTTTTTCTGCATGCACTGTAAAAAAATATCTATAGATTTTACAGTGAAAAACTGTCAAACCATGACAGTAAAAGACCGTACAGTACAGTGTCTGTAACAGTAGAATACTCATGACTCACAGTCATATCTCAAGACATGGCAAAACCTTTGTTAATACAGCATTTTAAAGGATTTTTTTTTATATTACAGACTGTAAATTGAACATAAAACATGCGAGACAAACATTTCTGACATGTCAGAAATCCAACCGATCGTCAGTTTGACAAGAATTTGTTTTAGTCTTTTTTATGCCAAAATCACCTCAGAGTTCAGCCCAGTTCCCGGGTTCTTAGCTCAGGTGATTCTTTGCTTTTTTCCCAGTGGATAAGTCTCAACTCCCCTCTCACCATGAACAAGTACAGGGGAGTGTATTGAATGTGTATACTGTGTGGCTGGATTGCGGTAGGCTGCTGTATTCCTGCTTTGTGTTGAGAGGTTTTAAGGGGTTCTCGGTTTATTTATGTCCTGGCCCACTAACAGTGTGCAGAGATGCGCAGCGACTGAGGCCTCTCTGGAATCATGGAGTATTTGGTGTGAGCCAAAAACACTGTCCTCATTTACCCGATTCCCTACTCACTCTCAATAAAGCACGCTGCACTTCTCATTGCAGCAATCTGTCCAAACTGTCCATCAGGCACTTCTGGGTTTAAAGGGGCAATACCATTAAAACTCTTTTTATTATTTAAATGAGAAAAGAGCTGTCAAATACTGAGCTAAAGCCTCTGTTCCACTAGCTTCTGTAACTCAGTGCAATCTCTCAGTTCACTGAGAAAGCAACTGCTGTTTACTCTCATGATTTTATTAAAGTTAAACAATGATTATTTTTTTAGCACTACAGCTCCTAAATCACCATATTAACCAAAAACACTCGCTTTACATCTCTTCAGTTGTGATCTCTGCTGTCTAAAACATATGACATACTGATGAGAAAGGCTGAACAGTATGGTAAACAGGATTTTGAATGAGGGTTTCCCTCTTTTGGAACAAGACCAAGAAGTTCAGGTTTCACTTCGGCTCTCTATGCGAGTTATCCACCGCTGAGGAAAGAAGGATAAATACAGAATGTATGATTTTAAAATGGCAACCGCAGCCCAGTATCTGTGGCTGGTTGTGGCCGCGAGGTCCAAGAGTCAGCAGAGAGGAAATAGCCATGCTGATGTAGTACGTACAACTAAAGTGCTCTATTGATTTTCTGAGCAATTCCTTAATTGACTTTGGACTGTGCCACTGCCCATACAGTGCTCCTGTTCTCTCTGTTTACTGTAAACTTCATAATTTCCACATCTGACTGTTTGTTTAATGTGTTGTTGGACACTGAGTGAAAATAATTTAAAAATGTAGTATTATTTATATTCATATAGCACCTTGGAATGCGAGAAACGTGTACTCTGTATATGGAAATGACAATAAACAAGCTAAATAAACTATCCGGTTTTAAATACTGTAGGGGAGAACAGCAAATAATATTTAATATTTTAATATTTTACTGTTACCGAAATTTTCTTCTGGCCTCACCTAAGTTTACCGTCCTGCTCTCATCCACTAACATGACATTTATAGGTCTGTTTGTGTCACTCCCCCGGACACTGAGGCAAAGTATAAATGTTGCAAATGCCATGAAAACAGGGCTTTTGCGTATGCATGAAGGGGCAGTTATTTACATTCACCATACATAGTGGCTGCACATCCTTGTTTGTGAGCTGTGTGTTCTTTTGGTCTCAGCCAGATGTTAATTTATTCATGACCAGCACTCTGTCTCTGTCAGAAGAGATTAACCAAGCAGCTGTACAGTAGCTGATGCTCTCCTGCTTTCGTGCTTCTTGTTGGACCTCATTGGGTTTGTCTGTTGCAGTAGTTTTGGACTTGTGCACCTGAGAGCGTGTGCTCTGGGAAGAGTCCACAGGATCGATGTCTCTCTTTGGGTGTTTCTGTCTGATTCCCGGTTTCCCCTCTGGGCTGGCCGGTGAGTCTACCTCAACAGTCACCATACACACTCATATAAACACACAGCCTTACATCAGCACAGTGTATGTAATCCAGCAGCAGCAGCAGAACGACGTCATCTGCTGTCGTCCAATGAGGAGAGGACGGAGCAGAACTGCCAGCCAATTGCAAGGAGACCTAATGAGCCTGCAGCTGACAATGAGAAGTAGTTGAAGGGAGGGCTTCCTGACGCACAGTGCATGTGTCTGATGTCTGGAGTTTGAACATCTTAAAAAGAGACTAAAAATATGTCCAAACTGTGATTCAGCGCCAGGTAAATATAAATATGTATATATATTTATATATTTATAAAAATAAAAGATCACAGATTTGGAGTCTCTCACATTGAACTGCAACGACATGTGAAAGTGAGGACAGAGAAGAGGAGTTGAAGAGTTTGTGCGCTGTGTTTTCATCCTCCTCTCAAGTGCTGTGAGAATACTGAGACTGCAGTAGCCGAGCGGCCAATCAGATTGCAGCACTCAACACACACACACACACACACACACACACACACAGGTTGCTTTTATCTGCCCATTCTCTGTTGATTTCATAATATATACAATAGCAAATGATATGGGCCTTTTTCTGAGAGGCGACGCACTCGCTCTTATCTAACCAATATTCATACAATATTGATAACAGCATTGATTCTATATTCAAAATGTCATATTCAGACAATGAGTTTTTTGTACTTTTATCACTTTTTTTTGCAACAAACTGGGACAGACAGTTTATATGGTTTACATTTTTAAGGACGTTGATCACATACAAATGCTTTCCTGTCCTGCTGCGGTTGATGCAGTACTACTGAGAGACCACTAGGGACTGATATAGGACCTGAGAATTAATGACCAGTAACCAGGAGAGCTGAGAGCTGTGTGTGTGCGTGTGTGTGTGTGTGTGTGTGTGTGTGTGTGTGTGTGTGTGTGTGTACTACATGTGTTGAACTACACTTGCCAACGCTGCAGTCTGTTTTTGTTTTGTTCATCCACACACACACAACACACACATACACACACACAGATTTCAGTATGGTGCAGTAAGTTACAGAATAGTTGAGTATCTTAAATAATACCGCTGTTGGCTTTAGACATTTTATCATTCCACAATAGAGCCACATCCTTTAGTGAGTCGACAGAAAGATTATTGATTAGCTGTTATTCATTCGTTCTCTGGTCCCAGCTTCTCTAATATGATGGTTTGCTATTTTTCTTTGTTATGTATGGCAGTAAATTGAATATTTTTTAACACTTCATAGACTGAACAGTTTATCTATTAATAGAATTGATAGTATAAAGAATCCAAACTGTTCAAATGTTAAATGTCCGTACACAAGAGGTCGTACAAGAACTTATAATGTAATTGGTTATTTAAAGCAGCAACAAGGAACGTGATTTAGCGTTCCCCTGTAAACAAAAGTGAGTAGTGTTTCCGCCACTTCGTTTGTTGATTTTAGGGAATATCCGACCCAATCAGACCCGGTGGCGTTAAGGATAACTAAATAGCCAATCTTTTTGCTGATGGTCTCATGTAGATTTAAAGTCCAGATGATATGAAAATTCCCATTTTAACCCTTTATGAACTAACCAATTTCAACCAATGAAATCATGACATTCACCGACCAATAGCTAGTTAGCTTGTGCAGCTAACATAATAATCCAGGAGGGTTCCAGGAGCCAAACTTGGCAACAACAAACCCCACCTCGGTACTTTATTCCCTGTTGTCAAACTGTACTCTGTTGGCATCGGATCTGACTGGAAGACATAAAACACACAGTGCTATTGGCTACCACAGCTAGTCCCTCTAACACTGAGAGTCTGATCAGACATTCAATGCCAGGTTTCTCGATACTCTGTGCTACAGACATATTTCAGTTGGTGTCAGAGACATATTAAGGTTTGATACTCAACACTACTGATGGGGAGAGCTGCACAGCTTCAGGAGAAATCTGCTGATCTCTGATGTTTTGTTGAAAAAGAAGACCCTCATTGGCATCTGAGCACCCACATCATCACCCCATCACCTTTGTGCTGTACAGGTTAATCCATAATGTCAGTGATTATAGGTTCTGTCCATCCCACAACATTCAATGAACCCAGTGCAACGCAGCAAATTTAGGATCCTTAGTTGCCATGGTAACCCCCCTCTCTCTCCTATTCTGTCTCCCTCCCCTCACAGATGTCATAAAACACCAAAGACGGATCATTAAACTGCTATGTGTGTCTGTGTGCGTCTGTGTGTGTCTGTGTGTGGGGGAGTGATATGAGTGTGTATCACATGGTTAACTCTGACACTGTGGAGGCTTTGCCAGCCTCCTTCCTACCTGTAGTGACAAAAGAGACACATTCCTCTGTCTGTCTTTTAGAGATGAAACAATAAATCGATTAGTCGATCAACAAAAGAACAGTCTTCACAATCGATACATTTATTTTAAAAATGCAGAACATTTGCTTGTTTTAGTGTGTTCATTGTGATGATTTGCGGCTTTTCTCATATTTATATCCTATAAATTAAAAGTCATTGATTTTATATTAACTGTTGGTCGGACAAAATGAGCAATGTGAAGATTTAATTTTGGGCTCAAGATTCTCTTGTGTGTATTTTAGGCAGCAGTAGTGGTGTATGTGGGACTGAGTCAAAATAATATATGTTCTTTGTAATGAAGGAACATGTCACCCAGTGCAAATTTGTAGCTCGTTGATGTGATTTTAGGCCAGGCTGAGTGCTTCTGTGCATTTATTATAACTATTTTCTGACATTTTATAGACTAAATGATTATATTATTAGTTAATTGTGAAAATAAATGTTAGTTGCAGCCCTACTGTCTTTCACAAATGACTGTGAAATGTGACACTCAATTTGGCAATTTGGTCTCAGACACAAACACAAGAACACTGAGAATTTAATGTCAGATGTATTTATTTTTTATTGTATTTAAGAAAACTGACATTGCAGCATTTCAAAGAGGACAGTCCTGTAAATCCTCTATCTTTGGACGTGGGGGGATCACATCAGAATGCACAGACCTGAAACTGTGGAGGAGGTTTCAGCTGCAGAGGAATGAGGAAACCCTATGAGGGAGCATTATTATGGAGTGTAGTACCCCACACTGCCTCCACAAATAATCCACCCTCTACAAAGTCAGCATGCAGTTCTTCGTCATAGCAGAGGATGTTGATGAGATTGAAGACCAGAGCCTCAAATTTCTCGTCCCTACCAATATATATTTTTTTGTATTTACCTTAATATGATCCTCCATCGGATGTTTTTCCATCCATGTCCTTGTCTTTCATTTTGTGAACTGGATGTGGTTCACTGCTTTCTTGTAAAGCAGAATTTACACATTTTGTTGAATATTTTATGCATCCTGTCAATTAGTCAGCGTTTGGTATGGAGCTCTTCGGTCACAGAACAATACTCGTCATTAGGTTCAAAGCGATGTTTCCTTCTATTTTTTTCCATTTGGACGTTATAATTCTGCCGGTTGTGACGCATCAGGTAAACAAAGCTGAGCGAGGTGACTTTATTTTATTCAGCAACTGGTCTGATCTTCATTATCATGGTTTTTAGGGAGTATTCCAGCCCTTTGAAAGTGTTCCACTGTACACCAGCTGCACGGGGTGAAGGTCCCCAAGTGTAGATCCCGTTGGGGTTGGCGCCAAAGCACGCCGCGTACCAGAATCCCCCAAAGCCTAGCCTGGCGCAGTTTGAACCATGCGTATCTTGATCTTTGTCAGTGGTGGTGAATTTTTGTCCATTGTGAAGACCTAAAGAGTCTCCTGATGGGAAAAACACAGAAAACACAGATTAAAACAATCCACATAGAACAGATCTATTTTCATTTCAGTTCATAAACTCACTATATTGTCTTCCATATTGGTAATCAAAATATGGTTATAATTTCTTGAATGTGAGAATAGGAAAAATATCCCACCTGCTGCTCCCCTGACGAAACTTCCCAGGTCCAGTCTGTATCCCTCCGTCTCTGTACTAACGGAGAAGGAAGAATATTGGGCAAAGACCTTCTGGCCCTCAAAGTCTTCCATGTCCACCCTCAGCTCATAGTTCTTGGACTGTGTCATCAGGTGCATCGTCTCCAGGCCTGAAAGATAACCAGTGAGGAAGAAACTGGTGTAAACCGAAGTAGGAGATTCTGTAAACAGGTATTAGTGCTGGAGGGCCAGTCAAATGTTTTCACAGTTTTTTTTTTTTCTTATGATCATAAGTGATATTGTGACTGCTTAGTATTCTCAAGTAGTGCCATTTTTTGTTACAAAATTTGTATTTTTACAGAATTGTGAACACATTTTCTGCTGATAAGTACTTGATGATTTACTGATGATCGATTTATCATTTAAGTCATTCATTGGTCCAAGCTTCTCACTTTCTCCTGGATTTTCTAATTTTTTTTAATGTTTTGGACTGTCAATCGAACAAAACAAGCAGTTTGAAGATGTCACCTTGGGTTTTAGAAAATCATGATATTTACATTTGTGCATTTTTCCCATTTTATAGAGCAAATGTTCGATCAATTAGTTGAGAAACTAATCCGCAGCTTAATCGATAACAATGTTAGTTGTAGCCCTACACCTCAAATCTGTCAAAAGATACAATAGTGACGTATTTTACATCTTTATGTATACCACATACATACATAGATATAGAATTGATAATTAAATTTACAAAGTTGTATTGTCTTCTTCTGGTCAGTAAACAAAGACTTTCTGTCGTACCCAGCCAGTACTCTCCAGCAGCGCTGCCAAATCCAGTTTTGTAGTGGTCCCACTTCATGAAGAAGTTCACTGTGCCATCTTGTCTTCTTTGAATGACCTTGTTTTTAGATAGAAGGGCGAGACAAAAAAAAAGGAACTGTCAAGGAAAGGCAAATTAAAGCCTCACTAATTCATATTTTTATATTAACAATGGATCAATTGTGTAAAGTGAAATGTTTCACTAGGAATGTAAAGATATATGGCGAGACAGTTAAATCGTGATATGTGAAGAGTCAAATCGGTGAGATGATAAAATCTGAATATTTGTTGGATGTAAAAATGCAAACACAACGTCAAATAAATGTTGCTCTGTGTCAACTGAATGTTAAAGTAAGCAAATGTTTGCTAACAGTTGCTCAATGTCGGGTTAACAGTTTGTTCAGCTCGACGAAAGAGGCCAGTTAAGTCAAATAATATTGCTTTCATTAAAAAAGAAGTTATTCTTTATTAGTTGAGTTGACAACCAATCAACTCTTACAGAAACCAGTCGGGAGGGAAGTAACAATATATTTTTCATCAAAAGCCTTCAGTGCCGTTCTTTGCTCTTCTTTCAATGAAGAGATACTCGCCTGATGTAAGTGATGATAGCAGCGTCTACGCTAATCTCTTTATTCATTTCATTCATTTAGTCATTTCTCACACACGTCGCACACACCTAGCTTTAAATCACGGCCATAGCGCATGCCGTATTTGAATGAAGTGAATGAATGAAAACATTTTGAGTCAGGATCTGTTGGGGAGAAACAACTTGAATTGGAACGAAGGATAACGTGTATTTAGATGAGGTTTGGATAAAGAATGGTGCGTTTGCTTTGTTCCTCCATCCTCACCGTCCACTTTTCTGCAGAACTGTCGGTGCCGTCATTGCTCATGTCACAGTAAACCTGTACAGGGGAGGTGGGGCCTGCTGGGTAGATGGTGTACACTCCGTCCAGGCCTGATCCAGCTCTGTAGACGTCACTGCAGTCTGTGGGCAGAGGGGACTGATAAGCTGCTACAGGCAGCAGCACTGCTAGCACAACTCTGAGCTGTAGCAAAGAGAAAAAAAAAGAATAAGGTTTGTCGATTAAAATGCATACAGCACACTGCATTACTGTACTGTCACCTTTAGCTTAATGCTTTTTCATATCAAGACAGGTAAGCTAATTTGTTTGAAAGGTCAAAGAAAATGTCTGCAGCTGATTTCATGAATGCATGAGTATTATACTCAGTATTGAGCGTATATTTATTCATCATGTCCTACTAGCGAGATTGACACACATTAAGTCATTAGGTGGGGATTCAGTGTCAAACTCAAGGAGACTTTACCAGGACAAGTGGATGTTGTCAAGACTGACCCTGTAATCTGTTGCGGTCATGAGTCAGGCTCTGGTACCACTGTATTCGATAGTCCAGTGTTCATACTTGGCTATCAGGTGGCGATGAATACATCTGTCCTTGTCCTATTTTTAGACTTTCCTGTAATGAGTTGTCATGTCCTGCAGTCATACTATGTTGATAGGATTATTTTACCTGCTTTGTCCTTTCTTATTGCAAAGAAGAAAGTAGCAGGGATGCAATATGATGATCTCTGGGTCATCATAAAAGACAGAGTAGTTTTAAATAAGGAATTTTACAGACTTTATACTGTTCATTGGGGAAACTAACAGGTAGGCAAGAAGGTTCTACCTAACCTAACCAGTGGCAGGCTCTTTTAAGAAGCCAGCGAGACAGCAAAGCAACTTATCTGTTAATAGCCGACAGTCACAAGTTTCATAAAAAGCCAAAGAAGGTCCAAAGGAAGTCGTAAAGGTACAAGGCAAATATCACAAGGACTGAAAAACTGATGTTCTTGATTACAATAACACCGTTTCACTGAAGCAGAGATGGCAGTAACCATCTATAATAGGGCTGCAATTATTTTAACGATTATTTTCATTATCAGTTAATCAATCTTTTTCAAGGTCACATCTTTGTTAAACTGTTTAGTGTGACCAAAAATTTTAAAGGTATCTAATTCTGAATGATATAATATGAAGAAAAGCAGCACATTTTCACTTTTGAGAAGGCTGGAAGAGACTGAAAAAAATTTATTAGCTAATCAATTAATCAGATATTTTTGAATTTTGAATTGCTTCTAATTAAGCTGGGTGTTTTGAGGTAGCAGCAGTTACACTGTTTTGAAGGACCAGTGTGTAGGCATCTATTGGTAACTGAAAATTGCTCGCGTCTGTATTTGATAACTTGGACATGAGAACGGGCTGTGAAGCATATAGGGGAAACTACGATGGCTGCGAAACTCACGGAAAACACAACAGGCCCTATTTACAGTCAGTGTTTGGTTTGTGTGTTCTGGGCTACTGTAATCATAAACCCATGGAAGGCAACATGAGGCATCTTAGATTAGAAATGGCTCATTCTAAGGTAACAAAAATATAACAATTCCTATATTCAGGTTATTACACACTAATGAAAACATACTTATGAATATTATATTCCATTGCTGCCAATAGATCTTTCTGAAAGTTACACACCTTTAAACAATGTTTTATGTCTCATAAAATCTTGACCAAACATGTACAATGCATAAAAAACCCATGAGTAAAGTTATGAAACACAGACTTCTGGCTCCCATGTTACATTACCATCATTCTTTAATCAGCTTGAGTGATTTGCAATGAACAGGCCGTGTGGCTATCCTGTAAAGAAAAAAAAAGACATTTTCAGCAACAGTTTCTTCAAAGTTTAATAAAATAATAGCATTTTCAAGTTTGAACGGCAGCATGAATGAACTTACCGTTAAAGAATGTGTGTTCCCTACAAGAGCAGATCCTTTTATATTAGCACACCTCTGCCTGTTGCATCACTCTGTGTTTTCCCAAGCAAACATATTGTTGACTTTGTTCCTGTTTTTTCTGACTCTTTGTCTTTTTCAGTGTTAGTACATCAAATATACACTAAACAGTCTTTCCTTTTGTTTGTTTTTATGTAATTTTAAAATAACCAATGTTCATGGAAAGTCCCCGTCCTGTAAGTGAGTTTTAATGTACTGTAGCTCATATAACTCCATGTACTCAGAGGGTTCCGAGTTTTTCATTTCATTTATTTAATTTCACAGGATTTGAAACTGGTAGTCTGAAATGTTTTGTTACCTGCTAGTCTGCACATACACTAAGCAAATGTTTTTCATTTTTGCTTTGCTTATTTGTCGCTTATTGTTGAAATGGTTGCAATCTCACTGCTAGATACAACAAAATCTTACACACTGGTCCTTTATGATGAAGCTTCCATAAACTCCAGACTGACTACCTTATTGACAGGATACACTAACATTTTATCTTGTTTATTTTATTTTTTGACCAGCTCTTCACTGACTTTAACTTCACTACTGTCGAGGTCAACTGTCTGGCTAGCCTTCTATAGTACCAAGTTAATGCTGTTTAATACCTGAGGAACCATCCAGACCCTGCTAATCTGTCTCCTGGGCTCTTGGCTCTGAAGCCTCGTCTGTGTTTGTGTCCGTTTGAGTAACCTTGGCTCGTTGCACTAGCCTGTTGTCTCTGCTGTACAGGAAGAAACCGTAAGAGAGTAGTTTGAGCATATTTTGCTTCCTCAGTATGGTACGATTACATGAGGGTTTCCACAGATACCTTCTTGTGCGGATAGATAAGGAGGCAATCCTTGAAGAGCAAGGTTTCCGGGTGAAGATTATTTCAGGTGCAGTGGCGTCTGTGTTTACCATGCAACCACCGGCCCAACTCAGTAGGAGATGGTGGATTCCGATATGGTAAGTCAGACAGGGATTCCCTAAGCTTGTGTCCTGCACACAGACACACAACTGGAGAAATAGTTGTATTTCAAACTGAGGAAATAATGATTACTTTCAAAACGTCTTATTTATGTATTTATTTTAACATTAAAGGTGTCACAAATGTTAAAACGTACATGACGATATCTTTTGTCCGACCAAAAGCCCAAATCTCAAAGATATTCAGTTTACAATCATTTAAACCAGAGGAAGGCAGCAAATATGGCATTTTTGCTTTTGTTGATGACTGATTTTGTTTGATTGCTAATTGTTGTATCTCCGACTGTATCAAATATTATGTTTTGTGTACTGTTGTTGCTCACTAGTAATGATGACTAAATGTAAAAGTGGAGTTTGTCAGCTTTTATGTTTGTGTTAGATGACTTTATTTTATTAAACAGTCAAATTCCCCCATTACACCTCCTCAGTTGTGAGGATTTGCTGCTTTTCTTTTGTCTTATGTGATATTGAATTGAATATTTTTGGGGTTTTGGATTGTTGGTCGCAAAAAGACACGTCCCTCTGCTGACCCAACATTTACTGGGCCATACAGGGCATTGTGCTGTTCACACGGTCAATAAAAATCTGATCTAAGTTACATATACGTTAGTTAAAAGCAGGGTCCCAATTAGAGCCTGGTGTCCTTTACTAGCCTGGTGTAGCTAAACGTTCTGACAAATAAAGGCTGGTCTCAATTAGAGGCCTGGATTTTATAGAAATTCTTTGCTTTTGCTTGAGCGAGTTCTAAGCTTCTTAGATTGCCCACACACATATAAATGTTTAAACTTTTGTCAATATGGACATGCTACACATAGTTAGCTCAGTTAGATTCTCCACAATTCCACCCAAATTATCAAATTAATGATTCGTAATTGATCAATTATTCAGCAGCCAAATACAAATAATATTCATACTGGTTTAAATAAACAAGCAAGTCGTTTGTGCAAAAGGAATTAAAGTCCTGTCCCAAATAAAGGCAGTGTGAACGAAGTCATAGACATCTGAAAGGGGTCTCGACTGTACCCCGTCTTTTTGAAGGGGGCAGCAACCCAAAAAAGTCTGGGAATCACTGATAATCAATTTTGTTGGGGGAAAATATTAATCTGAAAAGCAGCTACAGCTGTCAGATGGATGTAGTGGAGTAAAAACTACAATATTTACTTTTTTATATGAAGTAAAGTAAATGTAAGGAACTTTTCTAATGTATTCTGCCTTTAACAAGTGGCACTGGCTGGCACACGCTCTCATGCATTGGAGCAGCGCATTGTCGTCT